TACATACATACCATACATACATACCATACCATACATACATACCATACATACATACATACCATACATACATACATACATACATACATACATTACTACATTACATACATTACTACATTACATACATTCCATTACATACATTGCATTACATACATACATACATACATACAATTACCATACATACAATTACCATACATACAATTACCATACATACAATTACAATACATACAATTACAATACATACAATTACAATACATACAATTACAATACATACAATTACAATACATACAATTACAATACATACAATTACAATACATACAATTACAATACATACAATTACAATACATACAATTACAATACATAACATTACATAACATAACATTACATAACATAACATTACATAACATTACATAACATAACATTACATAACATAACATTACATAACATAACATTACATAACATAACATTACATAACATAACATTACATAACATAACATTACATTACATAACATTACATAACATAACATTACATAACATTACATTACATTACATTACATTACTTACATTACATACATTACATACATTACATTACTTACATTACATTACATTACATTACTTACATTACATACATTACATACATTACATTACTTACATTACATACATTACATACATTACATTACTTACATTACATACATTACATACATTACATTACTTACATTACATACATTACATACATTACATTACATACATTACTTACATTACATTACTTACATTACTTACATTACATACCATACATACCATACATTACTTACATTACATACCATACATTACTTACATTACATACCATACATACCATACATTACTTACATTACATACCATACATACCATACATTACATACCATACATACCATACATTACATACCATACATACCATACATACCATACCATACATACCATACATACCATACCATACATACCATACATACCATACCATACATACCATACATACCATACAATACATACCATACATACCATACAATACATACCATACATACCATACAATACATACCATACATACCATACAATACATACCATACATACCATACAATACATACCATACATACCATACAATACATACCATACATACCATACAATACATACCATACATACCAGAC